GGCCTGGTCCCCTCCCCCACAACTGCCCTCCCCTGCTGGCCTGGTTGCCCCCAACTGCCCTCCCCTGCCGACCTGATTGCCCACAACTGCCCTCCACTGCAGGCCTGGTTCCCCACAACTGCCCTCCCCTGCAGGCCTGGTCCCCCCAACTGCCCTCACCTGCAGGCCTGATCACCCATAACTGCCCTCCCCTGCAGGCCATCTTTGACCACACGGGGGCGGCCATCTTGCATGTTGGAGTGATGGTCCATTTGCATATTACTGCTTTATTAGATTATAGTAAATAAAGCTGAAGTCAGAATCGGTGCCTTGGTGGTTATTCTGAGAGTGGCTCCTTCCAAATCCTGACGGAAGGACGTTTTTCGGGGAGATCCTTGGTTTTGTGCTGCCTTTCATCCAGAATGGTGGGAAGAAGAGCGCTGGTTCCCCAGGCTGAGCCACGGTCCCCGGGGAGCTGGCACACGGACGCAGGCGAGTCTCCGAGGCAGCAGCTCCTGGCCAAGGCCCACGAAGCTGCATTTTCAGAGTACATTTAAGGTGCACCACATAGGGACCTCCGCGCATTGAGAATCGCGCTTCTACAAAGGTCTGCACCTGCTGGGTGGCTCTGCTGGCTCTCCAGTGGCCGGTAACTTCTCACCTGGGACTGTAAGAGTTCCTTCCCGTGGTGTTGGCTTAATTTTGGGTCTGTGCACTTCTGGCTACTCACTCCCCACGTCACCAGAGCTTCCTCTTGCTCCAGGTGTGCATTCCACGTTCACGGAAGCAGAGGTGGCCCGGAGTACATGGGTCGCTTCTGAGCTCGAGCTAGCACCGGGGGTCGGTTGGATCCAGCCATTGGACAGGACTGGGCTGTGTGGCTTCAGCAGGGCCTGGGGGCTTCCTTCCCGTCTCCTTGTCTGGGTGCCTCTAGAACGCAGCGGCGTTGGATGTGGAGTTCCCCATCCCCTTGTGGCAGACTCCTGCCCTGTGCAGTGAATTTTTAGTCTGAGGTGGAAGTCCAGCCCTGTCCTGCACAGAGAAGAAGGCAAAGGTGAAGGTGGGAGGGGAGAACTCCTTTTTCCTACTAGAAACTGGAGGAAATGGGAGGCCAGGCGCTGAGCAGCCTGGAAGGGCAGAAATGACTCAGAATATGATTGTGAGAAGTCAGAGAATGTGACTGAGGGGAACACATCTGTTCTCTCTAGCCCTGTGCTAGGAGGTGCAAATTTTGTGCAAAAGAAACTTAACAGAGATTAGAAACTGGATTCACGTTGCTCTCCCCCCATGATCTTGGGGGCACGTTGCTTAACCCCAACACCTTAGTTGTCTCATCTGTACACCTAATAGACTGTTATGAGATGAAAGCAGGCGACGTAGTATTCAAAAAGTATTAGCTGCTCTGGCCGGTTTGGCTCAGTGACTAGAGCATTGGCCCTCAGACCGAAGGGTCTCGGATTCGATTCCTGGTCAAGGGCACGTACCTCAATTGCGTGTCACATCCCACCCCCATTTGGGCAGTGTGCAGGAGGCAACCAGTCAATGTATCTTTCTCACATCGATGTTTTTCTCCTTTCCTTTCACTCTCTCAAAAAATTAATGGAAAAAATATCCTCGGGTGAGGATAAAAAAAGTATTAGCTGCTGCTATTATTTCAGAGTTCAAGTTTGGAACTAAGAATGGGGTTAGTGGGAATCTAGTAGTAGAAAGTGGTCCCTAAGGGATGGGGTGGGGAGAAGAATGTTCAGAAGAAACTGAACAGAGAGTAACCATGGGAACTTGTGGGCAAGAAGGCCAGAAGGTAAACTGAGGGCAGAGCATGGAGGGCTTTCACTTGCAGGTTAGAAAGTCTATTTTCTGCAGTCTTGAGGCAGAGGTCAGAAGACAACCCACAGGGAGGCTCTTGTACCTGGTTATAGGTATAGTCCCCCCACCCCTGCACACTTTGTTTTCTTGAACGTGGGCCAAGAGGTCGTCCCCCTCTTCTTAGGGGTCCCCTTGAGCAGCTCTGAGTGCCTGATTGTGCAGGGCCTGCTCAGTGTGACACTCGCTGGCCCCGTTGGACCAAAGCTCATGTCAACAAGGGGGGAGGGTGACTTGCATGGGTGTCGCCCTATCCAAGGCATAGAGTGCACCCTAAGCCAAGAAACACATCCACTTCCTGGAACTCAGAGCCGTCATCGCAGCTGTCTTGGGCCTCAGAGCACTCGTGAGGCTGTCCTGGTTAGAGGAGATGGTTTTGTCCTGTGCTTGGCAGGCAGGGGAGAACAGGCAGTGCCATGCTGCGACATCTAGTCTGGCTTGGTTCTGTCCCAGCTAGCCAAGATGGGAAGAAGGTTTCCTTTCTGCCTCAGCCCATCCTTCCGGAGATGTTCTTGCTGCTTGTTAAGCTCCGTAGCAGCTCACAGCATCTTAGTACCTGAGCTCCTCTGAAACTCTTTTAGCCTTTCCTGGTTGGATGGGACTTGAAGCAAAACAAGCTCAGCACAGCAGCTCTCCCGGTTTGGTGTTTGGTGGTGTTGTAAAGCTCACTGTTATGTGTGTATGGGGCTGGGGGAGGGTGGGGGGGCGTCTTCTGTCATCCCAGGCATCTAAACTTAGCCATCTTCCCTGGGGTCCTTGGGAAAGATTTTAGATTCCACCTTAAGAATCTGTAGGGCTTCTAGAAGCTGGATAGCTTTGTTTCTAGAGCATTTTCCATCTTTCCATCTCATTGCTATCTCTGGGACCTGGTTCTTTCTGGTTTTACATAGCATTGTCCCTTATCTCCTCAGGGGTGGGGGCTAGCCTTATCCCCCTCATCCTCACAGATGGAACTCTGCCATCTCCAAGTCATCCTGCTTCCACTAGACCTGGGCAAGGCCTGTGTGGGAATGCAAAGCCAGAAACTCAGCATCTTCCCTTTGGGGCAGGAGCCTCCCCAGCCTGCTTATTGCATTTCCCCTACAGGCATCATCTAGGGCGCAGCCTCCCTCACTGCTTTTTTTTCCCTTCCCCTTGAGGCAGTGTTGATAGAGGTAAGGGGTATCTTGAGTTTTCTTCCAAGAACTGTCCTGTACTTTTCCGCTCTCTGAGTTCTATGAATCCCTCCTGCCTGGTGGAACCCAGAGTAAACAGGGTAGTGACTCTTATTACTCAGCTTGGTTGCAAGACATTCTCAATATTCAAATCATTTACATCCAGAATCAGAGGATGGAAGTTGCAAGGTCAAATCTGTCAGGTTGGCCCGTTCCTCCCCTGAGTTCCCAGTGTGTGCTGAGAGGTTACAAGTATCTTTTTTAATTGAGGGGAAGGGCATATGTCCAGATTTTGAGACTCTTAGTTATATTTTGAAATTTTTTAATTCCAGAGACTTGTCTCTGTGTGTTTCTACATATAGTTTACGTATTTAGAGATCTTGATAGTTCCTAGAAAAAAGTATGGAGCCATTTCTCTCTATACTTTCTTCCTCTTAAAAATGTGCCATTAATTAAAAACGAATAACAAGAAAACCTTGCTTGTTTTTTGTTGTTGTTTTTACAGTGTTTAATTTCATCCTAGGCAGCTTTAAGTTTAGATGGGTGGGGATGATATAAAAGGATGTTTTGTTCCTATATTTCTGAAATCTCATGGGAATTTTAATAAAATTGACTTGATTCATAGTTTAGAGGAAGGTGGGTTATACATCAAGTGAAACCAAGATTCTTCTTACTTATCCTGCAGAGGTATCTGGGATTCCTGGCCTTCCTGATACTGACCCAAACGAAAAAAGAAAAGAAAAAGGTTGAGTGTAAAGAATGTGCATGCTTCTTCTGTAGGAGGGGCCACAGTTGCATCAGATCTCAAGGAGGGTTTTGCCTCTAAGAAACTTTGAGAATTACAGGGGAACGAGAGGTTCCGGTTCCCGTGGCTTGTTCAAAATGCAAAGAACTTTTCAAAAGAGAAAGGTTCAAAGTAAAAAGATGAGTAATTGAAGCAGTGAGGTGTAAAGAGAGAAACTGTTCACTGTGTCAGAAACCGTGAGGAGCTGCTTCTAACAGAAAGGGCTGGGAGGCTTCCTCCCCGCCACCCTGCGGGGCGGGCAGAGGTTTGCCACCTCAAGTGCTCAGTAACTCCATGCGGACAAAGTAAGAGTCGAGATGATAACTGGGCATTCACATGATGGGGCAGCCTTTCTGACTCCAACGGGGAATAAACACGAGAAAACATACCAAGCAAGTATTTCTTGACCGGTTTTGTCTGTGTGGCCATTTATTTTACTTCTTTAGTTTTTACTTCCCAGTTTTTCACTCTTCAGTTTAGCTATGGGGTGCTGTTTTTCAGAGACTTAGAGAGCGTGGCCGAGCGCCATAGCTCTGGGAAGTACTGCCTCCCTGTTTTCTCTCACTCTGTGGAGGGCCCAACATGGCTTTCTCCCCAGACACACTTTGGAGGCCTTTGGCCCCCAGAGCAGACATTCTCAAGCTCCTGAAGGACCCATGCAATTTGAATAATTTGCTGCATTTACTTGACAGAAAATAAAAATATGCATTTGTTCCTATTTGAGCTGTTATGGACACTTCTCCCATCACTCCCATTCTCTTACACTGAGGAACTGTTTAGTTCCATATTTTTCACTTTCTTCAGCTCTTCTTTTTTCCTCCCTGTTTCTGATAGCACTTAATCATGCCTCGCCCTTCTCTACCCTTTCAACTGGCCATCCATCAGCATTCACATGCCATTGAGATGCTCGAAGCTCCGCTTGGAACTAGTGGTCCGAGCCATTCTCCGGTGACGCTGCCCGTGGCATGGCTGGGGCATGCTGTGGGAGCCTGTCTGTCCCAGGCACGCGTGACCCCAGTGGCTCCTGCTCAGAGGCTAATGGAGGATTAGGTGGAATCCATCCAGGAGCTGGAAGCTTGCTTACAAAGTGCAGGCAGGGGGTGGGAAACGTTTTGTTGTCTCTAATTTGTGACTCCTGGTGGTATTAAGTGGAGAATTAGAGAGATGGGACCATTTTTGGTGTTGACTCCCTTATAATGTCACCTTTTCTCATTTTGTAGGTTGCTCCCACTCTGCTCCAGAGGTGGTGGCTTTGAGGTGTGACCCTGCCCACATTTGGGCCCAGCTAGCACCAGCTCCTCAGTAAGGAGGGCCAGCTTGATAAGACAAAGAAAACAGGTTGGTTAAACTTTATTGACTTTCCTTGAGTCACAGTAACTTTGAATGTTGAGTCTTCCTTTCTCTCCCTCTCCCGCCCCATGTTCCCTTTGAGTTCCTTCCCCTTCTCCAGGTCCCCCAGAGGCTGTGATGCACAGCCAGGGTGAAATTGTAGCTGAATCGCTACTTCTTGACCTGTTGGACCTGAGGTGTAGGATGAGAAGTCTCCAAAAGGGTGCCTAGTGTTTGTCTCACAAGAAAGCAGCACTTCATAAATCCCATCTCCTGTTTCTCCCTGCACACCCCCAAATCCAGACTGCTAAAAGCGGATACCAGGCCCGTCCACCTGGCCATGTCAATGAAGATGAGGATTTTTTTCATATCTGTGATTGGGAATTTCATCTGAGTTCTGAATCCTCTCTGATTCTAGTTGGAGGAGATTGTATTAGAATGGGACCAATAATTTCCTATTATTATTATTATTATTATTTGCAGTGGGGAGGCTGCTGTACAGGATGCTGTCAGGGAATAGAAATGGGGCAAAGGAGAGAATAAAAAATTAATACTATAAATATAAATAAAGAAAAATACGCTTTGTGAATGGACCTTTAACTTTTTTTTATTATTGATTTCAGAGAGGAAGGGAGAAGGAGAGATAGTAATATCAATGATGAGAGAAGAATCATTGATCAACTGCCTCCTGCACACCCCACACTGGAGATGGAGCCCACAACCTGGGCATATGTCCTGACTAGGAATTGAACCGTGATCTTCTGGTTCATAGATTGATGCTCAACCACTGAGCCATGCTGGCCGGGCTAAACTCTTAAACTTACGTTTCATTCCCAGAGATCAAGTATCAGTAAGTTTAGGTTAGTTAGTTTGACTTATTACTCTTATATAGTCTAGGACAGGGGTGGGCAACCTTTTTGTGAGTCCGTGCCAGAACCAGCAAAATCTCTGACTCAAAATTCTTCTGCTTGCCAACCCTAATTTTTTGAGAACATGTTACGCCTACTTGATATCTCTTAAGGTGTACGTATGTGAAGAACCTTGAAGAAATAATAAAATTCATTTGAGCAACAAAAACACAGTATATGATGATGAAAAATACATTTATTTTTTAGTGTATACATGTACACTGATAGTCTGACAGAAAACTTTATGACTCCGTTTGATATTATCAGTGGGACTTTTGCTGCTGCATCACTGATGACAGAGATTTTACATCAGATTTATATTTTGTGACCTTCAGAGATATGCACGAGCTACTACTTTCATCTGTCAGGCTACTCCTATTTATCAGACTTAACAAAATTCATCACTGAGAACAAACATTCACAAGGGTATGTGGATGAAACCAAAACACTGGTCGGATCTAGGGAGGCAGGGAGAGTTAAGGCAGAGGCATAGAAATTGCCCTTCCCCTCTCTCATCAATCCATGTCTATGGTCTTTAAGATAACTTGTTATGTAAAACTAGAGGCCCGGTGCACAAAAATTTGTGCACTCGGGGGGAGAGGGGGGTCCCTCAGCCCGGCCTGTGCCCTCTTGCAGTCTGGGACCCCTCGGGAGATAACGACCTGCTGGCTTAGGCCTACTCCCGCGTGGCAGAGGGCAGGCCCAATCCCTAGGTGCAGCCCCTGGTCGGGCTCAGAGCAGGGCCGATTGGGGAGTTGGGGTACCGCCCCGTCATGCACAGAGCAGGGCGGATCGAGAGGTTGCGATGCCACCCTCAGTCACGCTCAGGGTAGGGCCGATTGGGGGGTTGGGGCACCGCCCCCTGTCACACTCAAGGCAGGGTTGATGGGGAGGTTGCGGCGCCACCCCCTGTCACGCACAGAGCAGGGCCAATCAGGGGGTTGGGGCTCTGCCCCCTGTCACGCACAGAGCAGGGCCCATCAGGGAGGTTGGGGCTCCATACCCTGTCACACACAGAGCAGGGCCCATCAGGGAGGTTGGGGCTCCATACCCTGTCACACACAGAGCAGGGCCCATCAGGGAGGTTGGGGCTCCATACCCTGTCACACACAGAGCAGGGCCCATCAGGGGGTTGGGGAGCTCCCCCCTGTCATGCACAGAGCAGGGCAGATCAGGGGGTTGGGACGCCGCCCTCTATCACCCACAGAGCAGGGCCGATCAGGGGGTTGGGGCGCTGCCACTCTCACACTCAGGGCAGGGCTGATGGGGAGGTTATGGCTCTACCCCGTCACACACAGAGCAGGGCCCATGGTGTGGGTGGTTGCGGCGCCGCACCCTGTCACACACAGAGCCGCAGGGCAATCAGGGGTTTGGGGAGCTCCCCCCTATCAGGCACAGAGCAGGGCTGATCAGGGGATTGGGGTGCCTTCCCCTGTCAGGAACAGAGCAGGGCAGATAGGGAGGTTGTGGCCCCGCCCCCTGTCACACACAGAGCCGCAGGGCGATCAGGGGGTTTGGGCGCTGCCCCCTGTCACACTGATCCCGGTGCTGGGAGGCCTCTCAGCTACGCTGATCCCGGTGCCGGGAGGCCTCGCGGCTCTGCTGATCCCAGTGTTGGCAGGCATATTACCCTTTTACTATATAGGATAGAGGCCTGGTGCATGGGTGGGGGCTGGCTGGTTTGCCCTTAAGGGTGTCCTGGATCAGGGTGGGGGTCCCCACTGGGGTGCCTGGCCAGCCTGGGTGAGGGGAAGATGGCTGTTTGCAGCTGGTCACACACCCTTCAGGGTGGGGGTCCCCACTGGGGTGCCTGGCCAGTCTGGGTGAGGGGCTGAGGGCTGTTTTCAGGCTGGCGGGTGACTGAAGCTCCCAACTGCTCCTTTTTTTCTTTTTCTTTTTTATTCTGGGCCAGCTTTAGCTCTGGCTGCAGCTCTGAGGCCTCTGCTGCTGAAAGCAGGTATCTGGTTTGTTTGGGTTCTATAATCGAAACAATGTATAACTCCAGTTCTGAGATCCCTGCCCATTGAAAGCTGGTTTCTGGGGTTTTGTTTAGCTTCTATATTTGTTACAATGTTTCTTAAACTGCAAGCTCAGAGGCCGGCAAGGCAGGCGGGGAACGTTGCAGTCCTCTGTCACTGAAGCAAGCAAGCCTCATGTTCAGTTTAAGCTGCCTGGCTGCCGGCCGCCATCTTGGCTGGCAGTTAATTTGCATATCTCGCTGATTAGCCACTGGGAAGGGTAACGGTCGTACGCCAATTACCATGTTTCTCTTTTATTAGATAGGATTATTTATTTATCTAAGATGCACCTACACTGAATTTATCTGAAAAATAAAAAAGTCAATATTAAGAAAAAAATTGTAAATGGAAGATTATAAGACAGAGTTTCACGTGCCAGCAAAAGTTACTGGCGTGCCATGTTTGGCACGCGTGCCAGGGGTTGCCCACCCCTGGTCTAGGGTCAGGCTGGGGTAGGTAGAATTGACTATATTGGCCTCTGTTTAAATTAGCACGGGGTGAGCTCATTGTTAAAGTAGATTTTCCCCATCATAGAACCAGGTTCTTTCCCTCTTTCGCACCATTGTCCCAATGGAGAGTTCAAGTATAAGAGCAAACTGGAGTGAGACCTTGTAGTAGCTCCAGGGGCTCGTTTGGGTACCTCTGAAACAGCTCTTCAGAGTGCCCTGGCTCTTCAGTTGGTGTAGCTGAGAGTTTCCTTTTGTTAATTGCATCTTTAGGAAAGAGATAAGCAGTCTTTGTTTTAAAAAAAATGCTATTTACTTACCTTTAAACCAGGAAAAGGAAGTAAATGTAGGTGATCTTGGTGTCATCAGTGGGTTTCATCACACTTCATCCTAACAGAAGAAACCAATTTAGCAAGTGTCCTTGTCAGGACAAAATGGGAAACAATAAGTTTGCTTGACTTTTCTCCCTATGCTGGTTAGCTCTCTTGACTCTTGCTAGGTATTCTATATTTAAGACACTTAGGAAGTTTGCAAGAATGTGTCTTTGATGTTATAGTGACTGTGAGAAAAATTCTTACTGGCAATTTGGCTCTGCTTAGCGAATGTATTTTGTTAATTTTATATTGAATATTTCCCTCCTCTCCACTTTCTTTCCCTACACAATGATAGAATTAAATTAAATTTTTATTTTAACCTAAAATATTATATTTAGTCCTAAAGGTGTTTACTCTAACCTATTTTCAGATTTAGTAAACTTTACCACATTTTCTTTTCTAAGTTGAGTCATAGGACAAAATCAAGATCATCTTCTAAACTCATACTATAAATTGTTAGAAAGGTTAATTTTTTTACTGGCATAATTATAGTAAAGAAGATTTCTAGCCAGTTATTTTATAATTTGATGTACAATAAAACTATGGGAGAAGTATATTTTTAAGATGAAGATGGCCTGGTTGGCATGGCTCAGTGGTTGAGCATCGACCTATGAACCAGGAGGTCACAATTTAATTCCCCATCAGGGCACATGCCCTGGTTACGGGCTCGATCCCCAGTAGGGGGCATGCAGGAGACAGCCGATCAATGATTCTCTATCATCATTGATGTTTCTATCTCTCTCCCCTTCTCCCTTCCTCTCTGAAATCAATGAAATATATATATGCAGTTGGTTTTAGCCCTAGCAGGTTTGGTTCAGTGGATAGAGCATCGGCCTGCAGACTATAGGGTCTTAAGTTGGACTCCCCCTCTCTTCCTCTCTGAAATAAATAAAAATCCATAAAAATAAACTAAGATAAAAGAATGAAGATGGTTTTGGTATTGAAGGTGTCCACTTCTTTGAATCAAACAAATAATTACATGCTGATTGATTACAGTTCTAGGGGACTGATGATACTGTCGTTAGAAACCCATTACAAAAGAATTGAGGTGTGTGTACACTTATGGATGTACTTCCTTCACATGTCCTTTCTTAAAGAGAAATCTGCCAAATAAACTTTAAAGGCAGTTAAAAATAGGAAGTTTGAAGCACAATCTTTATTAAGTTTAAATGGTTTTCTGGCATGGGGAAACTTCATGGAAAGACAACAGCTTTTTTTTCCCCCTTTAATTTTGATCATTACTTTCCTCTGTGAGGAAATATGTGAGGGATGAGGCTGAATCAGTTGTCTTAAGGAGTATGTCTCTGCAGTTAGTCCTTTCACCTACCATTTGGAAAACCATTAGGTTCATATTTTCAAAAGTCTGTTAATAAGAAGGCACATTTTGTCTCTTGACAAGAAAAGGACTGCTCCTGACATCCTCTCTGACTTTTCTGGTGGGATTTTGGCTTTGGGATTTCCAAGCTCATGGCAACATCATTTAATAAAGTTATATTCCCAGGCCTCTCCTGCTCTGGTGCTGGGCACACTTGTAATTGCTCTGGGTGTTGCCACTGTCCTCTCCTCGGTCACATTGCCTAAAGTTGGAGGAGGAAACCACAGGAAGCCATGTTCTTTTTGGTATTCTCCTTAAGCATTCACTTGGTGGTGAAATAATGAGTGTGATGTTTGATGGCAGTTGAGGACTTGTGAGATTTACTGATGCACACCATGGGGGACAGGGTGTGTGGCTCACTGCAGGCTTCAGCTGTGAAATACCTTCCCAGATAAAACAAGGGAAATCATTTACCCGTAGACTTAACTTCTGGCCATACCTGTAGCCATCGACTACCAGTTGCAAGGGATGTAACTAGAAAAGGCCTGTAGAGGTAGGTTTTGATGTGGCTGTGGGTCAGTTTTCCCTTTGATTATTCTTTTCACATTACCTGGTTTCCTTTAGGTTTGACATAATACCTGCTGGACTGTGAGTCCAATTGGAGTCTGAGTGTCCCCATGCCCCTGTCTCTCTGCAGCAATGCAGCGGACCTAGGGAAGGACGCCAGGGGCAGAGTATGAAAGGGTATTTGTTACACATACACGCACACACAGGCACAGGCTTCAGAAAGTAAAATACCGCAAAATCGTTCTGTCTGTTGGGAGTGAGGGTGACAACACTATAGGGGACGTCAACCACGATATGGTTTTGGAAGAAAAAGAAGACTTAGAAATTGCCTCTTATTTGTGCTCCGTGTTCTCATGAATTTCATGGTCTGAGATTACAGCAAATAAATGGCTTCAATCTTTCACTAAGTGAAAATATATGCACTGAGTCTTTTTGCCTTTGCTTCCCTTCCAGTGTCAACGAGTGATACCGGGAGAAGAAAAAAAACGTGAAACACAGACTCATTTCCTACTCCACGTGGATGATAGCTATAGCAAGGGAAAATCTCATAGTTTATCAGTTGGGGCAGAAATGGAGGTAATTGGCAGTGGGCTGGATTTTCTTCTGTCCATTTTCTGGGGTATCGGTATATTTCCTATTTGTATTTTTTAAGAAGCAGTGTTTTTTGTGTTGATTTGAAATTTGGTCACAATTTGATAGGGTTGGCGCCTCAATTGCCTTATACAACTGGGGCCCATTGAAATCACTGGCTTGTGGCAGCAGAGTTAAGTGAAACCTGATGGTTCTTAGTTGTCAGGTCTACAACATCCCTGTAGTAATAAGTTAGTTAGGTTATTGGGAAGGTGCTGGTCAAATGGCAGCTCCCTGGGCTTCCTAATTGTTGGTCAGCCTTTGCCACTCTGCCTAATGAAAGATTAGTATTGGCAAAGAGACCTGCCTCAGGTGACTTTGGGAGTTGTGTTAGTGGCATACACTTAGAAAGGAAGTAAGGTTATTCTTTGATATGACAACACTCCATTTAGGTGAAAGCTTAAGTCGTTATGGGTGTGAGTGTCAGCTTAAATTGAAGGCAGAGGGTCTTAGGTATTTTGGCCTAACCTACAGTTGTGGTAGCCATGGCCAGTACCACCTGGCTCTGACAGAAGCCTCAATTTCCCAATGATCATATCAGCAATTTCCGATTTTCAGTTTTATGGCAGAGGCTTCTTAGAAGCTTAAACCCTTGTCCCAATGACGTCAAGTTCGCCCATTGGCTTGGAAGGTTCAGATTTGTCTTCCATCAACACCATGATGTCAGCGGTAATGAGTGTAGGGAAGGTTGCCGAGAATGGCGGGAGCCCCCAGAGCATCAAGTCCCCCACGAAGCCTCCAGGACCAAACCGGATTGGCCGAAGGAACCAGGTAAGCTTCTGTGGGCGAGGTGGTGACGTCTGGTGACTTCGGTCTCTGAGACGTTGGGAGAAGGATGTTCCCTTTAGCCTCAGCTTGCTCGGATAAACCTGTGGGTGTATTGAGATGTAAGCAGACATACCCAGAGGTGGTCATCATTTTTCAAGTGCGAACTTTTCATAGCTTATTTCCATTTCCTTTCATGGAGAAAGTTTCCTATGCTGTGGTGTCAATATTGGTAAAGATGCCCTGATTCTCTGCCCTGTGATTTTATTTGATTGCCAGCTTTCTTCATTTGATGGCCAAGGTAAAGAACTTAACTTAGTTCTCTATTGTGATGTTGTTCCTTTCCTTACCCAGCTGGTTGCTAAAGCCACCTCCTTGATTACTTTTTAAGTGTCTTCAGATTACGGAACAAATAAGAACTGGTTGTCCTGGGGCTACTACCCAGCTTCCCATCCTCGACAAAGCACAGAATTTGGCTCCAGAGAATTCCACATAAGAGGCAATTTAGTCCTTTTGAACTTGTAGTGGGCATTAGATCAGGAGAAGAAGGAAAGAGTAAATGAGTGGGCAGGAATACAGAGGATTAATGATGTAGTCAAAGTCCAGTCCCCTCCGTTGGGAAATGAGATGGATCTTTTAATTGACATACAAAGGGGGCACTTGCAAAGTGGTTGCTATCCTGTTAAGCAGCATGTTCAACGAAGCTCAAGGAGTGAGGTAGAGAGTACACAGTTCTCATTTCTTCTCTGAATTCATATGATATGAACAAATTCCTCCACATTTAGTTTTTGGTTTATCGGATTTAATGGGGTTATACCAAACCCACAGGGAGCAGGCAGTCTTAAATTTGTCTAGATACCAGAAATGGAGATGAAAGTAAACTTGCTGGGATTTTTTAAATTAAAATTTTTTTTATTAACAATCCTACAGTGACTGTTATTATACAGAATTGTCTGAGTACACCTATGATGGCTTTCTATCAATTCTTAGAAGTAAAACATTAATTAAGGCTTTCTATATAATTTGCCCTCCAGAAAAAGTTGTACCAGCCTAAAATCCCTCCAGTAGCATGCGAGAGTGTCTGTTTCTCCACACCTTTCTCAAGGCTGAACACTTGGCAGAATTAAACAGTGTTTTAGGGTTGGAGCATTGATACCTTTTTCTCTCTTTTTTTTTCCTTGTCTCTGCGTGCCTCTCTTCCTATGGGTCCTTGAGAAAATACTCAGCCTGCATGACTGTGGCCTGAGTCAAGAAGGAGTGCTAGCTCTGGGAAGAAAAGGTTTATTTTCACTCTCACATGACTGTCTGTCCATCCGTCTGTTCGTTTGTCTCTCTATCCATTCACTCGTTTCATGGTATATGCCAGCTCCTAATTCCAGCCAGGTACTGCACCATGGTGTCAGGCATTTCGGGATGAATGAGATAGAAAGGTCATTGTCTTCCTTTGCTGTTCTACCAGGAGTAAGTGGTAGGTAGGGATCACCTCCTCTTTAAGTAGCCCGGCACTGCCCCGCTCAGGCAGAGTCGGCACAAGTGTGGGCTCCAGTCCTTTCCCAGTGGTTCAGAGACGACAAGTAGAGCCATAGGAGGGGACACACGGCTCTTCAGTCCCTGGGTGGTAACTGGGAGTGACTGTGTAAGTGTGGTGCAGGACATGGGACAGGTGTGTGCCTCGGCTATTTGTCATCTACCCCCTGTGCCTCCAGGGTTCCTTGGGTTCTTTGGGGCACTGGCTCAGTTTTTGAAGGGGATGTCTGGGCCAGAGGTAAAAAGGGAAAGACAGTGCACAGGAGAAAAAACAAACAGAATGCAGTGGGGAGAGAGCGCTTCATCCTCACCTGGGAGTGAGCGGGGAAGGCTGCCACGGAGCCCTGGGAGGAGTCCCATGAACGATAGCACCAAGTTCTAGGGCAGATTAGCCCCAGCCGGACACCGGCATGGGTGACAGAGCATTTCGCTATGGAACGGTTAGTTATCACATTAGCTGCTAATTTTATCTGTCAGCTCAGGAAGTGTGCTCTTTCCACTAGCGTGGCCCCAATAACTGGGTTCAGAATTCTCCAGTAGGGCTTCTCCCAGCATCATGATGCTGCCTTTTATATTGAAAACTAAATCCGCGTTCACAGCCTTCCTTCCCCCAGAGCACCGTGGATTTTGTGGGCTGGAGTCACAGGCTGCGGCATGCCACCGCCAGGCTCAGAGCACGTTTGGGCCCGAGTTCATGATAAGCCCCAGAAGCAGTGCCAGGTAGCCCCATGAGCTGCTCTGTCTGCTTCTCCCTCAAGGTGAATGAAAGGTGATTTCTTTTTTTTATTTATTTGCCTCCTCAAGGAGCTGGTCTCTTGGAGACTTGGCTTTTTAACATGTATTTATATCCTACTGATGAATCTTTCGCTTAAAAAATTTTAATATATTGTATTGCTAATCTAATAATTCATCAAAAAGACCCAAGACTGAATTTTGGCCTGGCTGTGAGGCATTTTTCATTATGATTGTGAGTGCTCGTATTTTGTCATTGCTACTTTTGTTTTTTGTTTTTCCGTTTGGTGGTTCTTGGCCAGCTCCATTCTAAGTGTAGTAGCCCTGGGCTGAGAACGTAGGACACCCCAGACACACATGATACCCCTATGAGGAGTGCAAGTCGCTGGACTCAGTGACACTTGCAGGCTTTTTACTATCTCTGGGTTAATCAACTTCCTTAGAATTGATAGCTGTAACTTTTTTTTTTAAATTTGAGAGTGAAAGATGTATATGACATACCTAGGTCTCAGACCCAGTGCCACAGACTAGAAAAAGGTGACTTACCCACAGGGGCTGCTTTCCAAGATGCCCAGTGGATGCCTGAAACTGTAGATGGTACCAAACCCCATATCTACTATGACTTTCCCCATACATACAAGCCTTTTCACGTAAGGAAGCATCTTTTGGCTTCTCTTTGGCACATTCGATTGCCAGCATCACCACTCTTGCACCGTGGGGCCATCACTAAGTAAAATAAGGGCGACTTGAACACAAGCACTGAAATACCTCAACAGTCAATCGGATACCCAAGATAGCCACTGAGTGACAGTGTATGCAGCCTGGGATGCTGGACACAGGAATGATTCACGTCCCAGCAGAGGGCAGGATGGCATGAGAGTTCATCATACTACTCAGAACGGCAGGAAATTTAAACATATGGATAGTTTATTTTAGAAATTTTATGTTTAATATTTTTGGACCGTAGTTGACCCATGGGTACCTAAAACCATGAAATATGAAACTGCAGATAAGGGGGGACTACTGTGCTTAAAACGAGGCCTGCTAGTCTTTGAAGAGAGAGAGACAGAGAACCACTATAGGCAGCTGTACAGTAGACATCATGCATGCACTTCACCTCCCTCGTCTGGCTTATGGTGCATTTGTTTTTATAGTCTTCAGGGTGACTTGTATTTTCACCATCTCTCATAAGCCAGCCTCAATGGCGTTTCTTTTCTGTGCCTTGGAGCTCATCTTTTTTTTTTTTTTTTTCTTTTTTTGTCAGCCTTCTGTAACAGTGGTTTAGGGCATGGGCTGTCGAGCAGCTGGCCTGAGTTTTAATTCTGGATCTATGTAATAGTTCCCTGATTTGGGGCAGGTTACTTGCCTCTCTGTATCCCAGTTTCCTCATCCAGAAAATGGGGTCCATTATAGTGGCTATTTTTTTTAGTGGTTGTAAAAAAAATTGATATTTTTATATCTACAGAGTTTAGCACATAGTAAGTGTTCAATAATTGGTGTTATTTGCGAGGAACAGAAACTCATTCAAATGAGCACAAGGAAAAAGAGGTCTGTTGAAAATGCCCACAGGTCCAGCCCTCCCCTCTTTCATTTCACAGGCTGCTTGGTCTCCCACTCCATTAGCACATCCAGCTGCACGTTGTGGCTGGGGCCCGCCGTGCTGCTGGGTCTGGCCCCAACCCTACATGCACTGTAATTCAAGTGCTGCTGATCACCTAACTTAGTAACCTAGTCAACCCCACACCTGGGCACATACCAACATCTCCCGGGAGCCTGTGAAACAAATTCCTGGGACTCAGCTCCCCTCACCCCAGTGATTCTGACTCAGTCTGTTGTGAGTCTGATCTAGAAATCTCAGGAAGCTCCTAGGCGATTCTGCTGATCTTCGGAAACCCATGGATCTTAGTCTCTAAGCATCTCAATTCCACATTCCTGAGAGTGGCATCCAGGCCTTGATCCCGTTAGTTTTGGGGATGAGGACAGACCTGAGGTGCTCAGGGATTGTGTGTTGAGAAGGTTGTGACAGGCATGTCCATGACAAAGCTCCAGGAATTATTTTGAAAGGAGTTGTGTAGGTAGTAAAGGAGCTTGTCATTTTCCTTAAAAAGGTAAAATATATTGCTTCAAGGAAGCTTGTCCTGTCCTGTGTGTTTTGAGAGAACATAAAATGGGCCACCTCCCCAAGCAGTGAGCTTGTTCTTTTGTCGCCTCTGTGGGAGTCTTCATTTTGGGTTTTTAGTCGCTATCACAGCATTCTTATTCTTATTTACTATTTATGAGCGGTGTCAAGCAGTTGCTAGCAGGGAGTAAAAGGGCCAACTTGGTGCCTGTTAGGCACACATCTGGGCCGGGAGGCCTTCCCCATTAGGAGGTGTCATGAGAGCTTCATTACCTCTCATGTGTCCTTGGGAGGCCCCAGAACAGGTTGAGAAGAGTAGCTGGAGCCTGGGTCGGATTTGGGGAGAAATACATTCCTTTCCTAGCTCTGCCTTGACTTAATGCTTAATTTTTCGCCATTACTGATGATTAATTAAAGGGTATATGTCTAATAAGAATACTAATATTTATTGAGCACTTACCCTGTGCCAGGCACTAGTCCAGCACTTTATGTGTGTCAGCTGAATTAATCCTCATCACAATGTGATGTGGTAGATGCTGTTACTTTCCCATTTTACAAATGAGGAAACTGAGGGCCAACAGGACGGTGACTTGTCCAAGCGCATACCAGACAGGCTCCAGAGCCCATACTCTTAGCCGTCTCATTGCTACGGCCCATGAATCACAGGTGCTCATGGCAGACAGAAGAGGCACCAGGTGCAATTGATTCTCCCTTTTATTATGTCTTTTCAGGAAATGAAAGAAGAGAAGTCTTCCTACAACTGCCCCCTGTGTGAAAAGATTTGCACTACACAGCACCAGTTAACTATGCACATTCGTCAGGTTTGCTACTGCTTTTATATTTTTGTTTTAAATCATTCTTCATTAAGAGAGGACCAAGTGATTTGGTATCAGTATATGAATTGTGGCTGTGTTTAATTTCAGTTTAATATTTCAATTATTTTGCGAGGTAGTTATGAAATAATTTTTGTGTGTGTGATTGTGTCAAAGTCCCAGATCAACACAGAATTCCTTTTCAGAATTTAGCAAATACCGAGTTCACTGACCACATGTAGCAGAAGACTGTATGGTATGTGACTCGTCAGTATGAACCAAACCCCTTACAGAACAGGAAATTGTAGGTGTACACCCTGCTCTTTATGTTGTTCCAGCCTCATGTCGTGCAGCCGGGCATTAACTTGATTTGGGATCTCATTTGGTTTTTCCTCTTTATTATGAGAGTTTCCCTTCTCCCTCACCTGTTATAACTGATTCATGACAAAGTACTGATGACTCTAGTGTCATTATTCAAGTTAGAGCGTGGTGCTAAAAAATAACATCATTTACTAAGTTGGGTTTGGATGGAAATGTTCCTTCTTAACATGTTTCAGAGGCCAGACCTCTCTCAACTGTGCAGATTTCAGTTCTTCCCTGGCAGCAAGACTGAGTCATCAGACTTGAAGAATGGACACTGACAATGTGAGGACCACAGTTCACCTGTTTGCTGTAGAGCTGACAGTCTTCCTGTTCGTGTTAATAGAGTGGTCAGTTCATCCATATGTGTCTCCAAGAAAGACCTTCAAAGATTCCAACTCTGAGTCTTGCAGAAGTATTTTTCAAAACCAAAACATGGAAGTAGAAGAAGATCATACAGAATCTTTATTTGCCTGTGTTGCTGATCAGTCTTGACATTCAGGAAGATATTTAAAATGAAACAGAAAAAAAAAAGCTGAGAAGCTTTACTGGTTTTATTATAAAGCTTTGAATTTGTGTTACTGAGTCTTGGCTCATCTTAAGTGACGACTGTGGTGATTGCTTTCTGCAGCACAACACGGACACCGGAGGGGCAGACCATTCATGCAGCATCTGTGGGAAGTCTCTGAGCTCGGCCAGCTCCCTGGACCGCCACATGCTGGTGCACTCTGGCGAGAGGCCTTACAAGTGCACTGTTTGTGGCCAGTCTTTTACCACCAATGGGAACATGCACAGGTGGGTGAGGGCCGCTGTGGCCTGGTGGCCTCTCAGCCATGATCAGAGAGAGGACTTGCCTGGAAACATTAAGAGTTCTGAATCCTGTTCACTGTATGGAAAAGCCAGAGATGGTTTTTGCGTGTGCATACTATCTCCGGAGCATTAAAGGTGTCTCATCGTGGGAAACAGAAGTACCTGGGCTAGGTCTTTGGCCCTTTGGGGATTAGGGTGAAACACCAAGTCCTTCCCCTTTGCCAGTTGCTATTTCTTTGTTCAGGTGCCAGAGGTGGGCAGCTTATCAGATACAGAGGAACCCTCAAGGAATAGCACAGTAACCTTTGCCTTTTAAAAACTAGTTGCATATGCATCCTAGGTTCCCTGCGGGTGTTTTTTTTACGAAAAATCTCTGGGACCTTTGAATAAATAGTTAAGTTGCCTGGTCCTGGAGCTTTAGGGTAAGAGAGGATAAAAGAAGAAATAGACAATCTAATAAATGTCAGGAATTTGCTTCTGACGGGGAGAGAGGCTCACTCAGAAGTGGGAGGGAGCTCAGTGGTGGGCATATTAAAATTCTGTGGTATGAGTCCATGGGAAGTATACTTTATAGAATGATTACATATGTTTTGAGGGGTTAAAATAGACTTTTTGTTGTTGTTAATCCTCACCCAAGGTTATGTTTTCCATTGAGTTTTACAGAGTGAAAGAGGGGAGAGAGAGAGAGAGAGAGAGAGAGAGAGAGAGAGAGAGAGAGAGAGAGAGAGAAACATTGATGTAAGAGAGTCATATGATGGGTTGCCTCCTGAAAGCACCCAGACTGGGGCCAGAGATTGAACCTGGGGCACATGGGCCAATGCTCTAACCAGTGAGCAGCACCAGCTAGAGCAGAACAGACTTTTTAAATATTTTTGTTTTAGCACAAACATTTTAGGAACATTAGAATTCTAGGAAGATTTTTTAAAGGGACTCAAAATTTTACCTTCTCAGAAAATCAGGCTATTTTTATTTTTCTGTATTCTCTTCTAGGCTTTCTTTTTTGGGGGTGGGGTGGGGGTTAAGCCTCACCCAAGGATATTTTTTCCATTGATTTTTAGAGAGTGGAGGGAGAGGGGTAGAGAGAAACATCATCGATGTGAGATAGACACATCGATTGGTTGCCTCCCACATGTGCCCCAACCAGGACCACAGATGGAGCCTGCAGCTGAGGTACGTGCCCTTCACTGGAATCGAACTCCGGACCCTTCAGCCTGATGGTCGACCCTCTATACATTGAGCCAAACCGGCCAGGGCATACTGCTTTCTTTTTAAAAGTTGACCAGCATCTTGTTTTTCATATTTATTTCAAAAAAATACGTTGTAAAATTGATGTTTTATTACATGTAAATACTAATATGATATGGTCCATTTATTCCACCTAAAATCATTTCATGAGCTACTGATGGTATACTTGGAACATACAAACATAATGGTAAATTTCTGGATTCTGAAATTAGGCTCCTGGTTTCAAATTTCAGCTCTGCCACGTGTAAATTTCCCATTCTTGAACAAGTTACTTAACCTGTGTACCTCGGTTACCTCCTCTTTAACACAAGATTTTTAATATCATCCACGTCATTGTACTAAGATGAGGATTAGGAAATACGGAGTTCAGCACATGTCTATTACTTACATTTCTAAGTAAAACTGCAATAATTTAAAGCCTAGGAATTTCTCAGTCTGCACTAGAAGTTAGAATATAGTATGACTCTTTGAAAGGTATCAATATTTTAAAGAATATTTACAAAGTGCTTTACTTTTTTTTCCCCCATAAAAAGTTCAGTTTTCTCTCTTTGCTCCTCCTCTTCTCGAGTTTTGGGTATAAAGAAGGAAGTGAATACTGTTGCTATTTTAAAATACATATTACCTTTTAGCTTTTAGCTTTTTTGTCACCATATCAGCCTGTTGGTGACTTTGCCTTCTCTTTGCCATTTTATTTTGTTTTTCCTGCAGTTTCTATCTACCTCATACCTCCCAAAAAGGACTCCCTCATACATTCGCCATCTTAAAATCTGGGCTTAGAGTGTTGTTGCCTGTCGCTTTCTGGGGCAGTTCCCCTGCTTTGTCCTACTGAATCTCCTGCTCAGGGGGACTCCCCAGCTCTTATTTGGCAGTGGGCAATGGGGTGCATTCCCTCCTCCTGGCTGCTTTAGCCCTAACTATTTACTGCTTATGATACTCCATGAGCCATCTCTGGTCTTAGGCCCAATCACACCTGATTTTAAAAATTTCTAATTATAACTAAAGTTACAGTGCACTATGCATCTGGCACTGGACTAAATTTCTATTTATTTTTTTACATCTTTATGATATATAATTTATATACTATTCATTACATTTTACCCACCTAAAGTATGCAATTCAATGGGTTTAGTATATTCACAGAATTAATGCAGCCATCACTCTAATCAATTTTATATTTTCATCACCCCCAAAAGAAACCCATACCTATAAGCAATCATTTCTCATTACTTCCCACCCTCCACCCTGGGAAAACACTAATCTGCTTTCTGTCTTTGGATTTTCATATTCTGGACAGTTCATATAAATGGAATTATATAATGATGGTCTTCTGTGACTGGCTGCTTTCACTTAGCATAATGTTTTCAAGTTTGCTGTATGTTGTATGTAGCATGTGTCAGTACTTCATTCTTTTTTGTTGTCAGATGATAGGCCATTGTGTGGGTACCACATTTTACTTATCTCTTCAGTTGGTGGGCATTTGAGTCATTTCCACTTTTTGGCTATTATGAATAATGCTGCTATGAACATTGAACAGTTTTTCATGTGGAAGCATGTGTTTATTTCTCCTGGGTAGCTACTTAGGAGTGGGATTACTGAGACATGTGGTAACTCCATGTTTAACATTTTGAGGAACTATCCCACTGTTTCCTAAAGCAGCTATACCATCATTTTATATTCCCACCAGCAGTGGATGAGGGTTCCAATTTTTCCGTGTCTTTGTTAACAGTTGTTACTATTTGTCTCTGTCTTTTTCATTATAGCTATCCTAATAGGTGTGAAATGGAATAGGTGTGAGTTATATAATTTTAATTCTAACGCTTACATCTATGATCTATTTGGGGTTAATATTTGCATAGTGTGTAAGGAAGGGGTCCAAGTTCAGTCTTTTGCACTATTTGTTAGAAAGACTTTTCTTTCCCTGTTGAATTGTCTCGTTGACCATAAATACAAGGATTTAGATCTGTACTCGCAGTTCTGTTCCCTTGATCTCTATGTCTTCCCTGAGGCTAACATGATAATAATTACTGTTGCTTTTTGGTAAGTTTTGAAATCTAGTGGTATGGATCCTCTAACTTAGATCTTTTTCAAGATTGTTTTGGCTATTCTGAGTTGCTTGCATTTCTATATGAATTTTAGGATTAGCTTGTCAGGTGTTCGTTTTTGTTTGTTTTTTCCAAAAAAGGCAACTGAAATAATTGCAGGGATTGCAAAATGTATGGATCAATTTGGGGGCATTGCCATCATAATATTAAATTTTTAATCATGGAATATTTTCCATTTACGTAGATATTACTGGATTTCTTTCAACTAGAGAGAGAGGAAGGGAAAGGGATAGAGAGATAGAAACATCGATGCGAGAGAAGCATCAGTTGGCTGCTTCCTGCTTGCACCCACTGGGGATTGAGCAACTCCAGGCCTGTGCCCTGACTGGAAATTGAACCGGTGACCTTTTGGTTCATGGGTTGACGGTCAACCACTGAGCCCCACTAGCTGGGCTAATTTCATTGTTTGATTGTGCGTTGCTAGTGTATAAAAGTACCGTTCAGACTTTATATTGATCTCATTTCCTACAATTTTGCTGATTCATTCTAATAGTTACTTAGTGAATTCCTTAGGCTTTTCTGTATACAAGATCATGTCATCTGGAAATAGAGATAGTTGTACTTCTTCCTTTGAAACTAATCTGGTTGCCTTTTCATTTATTTTTCTTGCCTGCTAGCCCTCATTAGATTCTCCAGCACAATGTTAAATATAGGTGGAGAGAATGGACATCATTGTCTTATTTCTGATCTTAGGAAGAAAGTATTCAATCTTTTCCCATTAAATATGATGGTAGTTGTGGGTTTTTCATAAATGCCCTTTAATCAGTTTGAGGTTCCTTTCTTTTCATGGTTTGCAGAATGTTTTTATCATGAAAGGTTGTTGGATTTTGTCAAATGCTTTTTCTGCATTTTACTGAGATAGTCAAGTTTTGGATGTTGAACTAACTTTATTCCTGGGATAAATCCCACTTGGTCACAATATATAATTATTTTCATATATTGATGGATTTGATTTGCTAGTATTTTTTTGCCAGTATTCATGAGAGAGATTGGTCTGTAGTGTTCTTTTCTTATGATACCCTTATCTGGTTTTTGTATCAGGGTAATTAATACAAGCTTCATAGAGTGAGTCAGGATATATTTCCTCCTTTTTTTTTTTAAAGACTTTGTGAAGAGTTGTATTAAGTCTTGAAATAGTTGGTGGAATTCGCCAGTGAAGTCACGTGGGCTTTTCTTTCTGAGAAGTTTTTAAATTACTAATTCAGTCTCTTGTGATAGGTATGTTCACATTTCTATTTTTTCTTGAGTCAGTTTTAGTAGTTTATGTGTTTCTATAAGTTGTCTAATTGGTTGGCATACAGTTGTTCATAGTATCCCCCCCATAATGCTTTTTATTCTGTGAAGTGAGTGGTGTTGTATCTTCTTTCATTTATGATTTTAACTAGAGACCCGGTGCACAAATTCGTGCATGGATGGGGCCCCTCTGGGTGGCCTGCAGGGATCAGGCCAAAACCCGCAGTACAACGCCACCTGCAGCTTCTACCTGCTGCTCCCGCTCATCCCGGCCCCACTGTGCCTGCTGTGGGCTCACGCCCAATCAGCCCAAATCAGGAGAGGTGCCCTGAGTCTGGCACCCTCCCGAAGGGAGTGGCCTGCGGGATCAGGCCGAAACCGGCTCTCAGACATCCCTCAATGGGT